ATTTCTTAGTTTAGAAAAGCTAATATAGTGGGTCTTAAACGATAATATCATAATATATTCTCATATTAAATTACAATCACGGTTTAATGCACTTAATTGAAGAGAGAATACGATGTTGTGTCTGAGCCAAGGCAAGAGGATAATCCTGTTACTTATATGTCAACATTTGCTTGCACGTCGAGAATATACACGGGTTTTGAACTGATGGATATGTTTGTGAATCTCGTATTACTAGCAATTCGAACTTTGGTTCCGGAATTCTCGGTGAATTACAGCAGTCATGGAATTAAACCTATTTCCATATTTCTTTCTAAAATTACATATAAAGATACGTGCGGATATTCTCATTCGAAATCGTAAAGAAACTACCTCTGGTCCCGAATATAATTTCCTCTTAAGTCAAAGGAATTTATATTGAGCCTTTAAGGACCGTATTTCCTTTAACTTTTTCACTGTAAGAGTCAACTTCAATGGGCAGAAAAAAAGGGACGAAGCAATTCCACAGAGAGAAACACATATGTTCTGATAACGAATAGCCTGGTAATGTCGTCATCATCGTATATAGAAAACGAAATCTCCAGTCTTTGCTTCGACTTTTTTTTGCGAGGTTTAATTTAAGCTTAGACCCATTTTTCACGTTCTCTTTTTTATCTCAAGTTTCATCGCAAATCACCAGAAGATATAAATGTTTTCACTTCAAGATTTGAAATATGATTATTGTCTTATCTTATTTCTTTCTGTAAACGAGATGTATTTAGATATATAATTTGTTTAGTAAAAGTACTTTAAAATATCATAATACATTGTTCGCACATGTTTAAAATTAATAAAATATTGTTATTTCTGGAGGATCACAAATAATATTTCCATTTTTATGTAGAGGGCGACTAATAGCCGATTGGTAAAGTCGCCCTATCCACGATTTCGTGAGCGCCGGTTCGAATCCTGGTCAAGCCAGGCCCTTTGTGAGACCTCTCGGTGCTTGCAGAAATAGGGCCATCGTTCATCACAGATGGACAGTCAAATGAATGAGGTTCAGTATATGAACATTTAGCCAAGTCGATGGACAATGACAGTGTTAAGGATAGCAGCAGATTTACTGTGAAAAGGAAATAGTGGATTCAATATACTACTGAAGTTAACCTACAAGATGACAGCCAACCAACAAATTAAAATCAAATCATCATAATGGTAACTATCCACCGGTAAAGATTATCCATTTAATGTCAACAGCGATTTTAAATTTACTCAATGTTCATTGATGAACAGATTGAGAATAAAATTATACGACATAAAAAAAATATATATATACAGTGGAATCTCGTTCCAGAATCTAACTAGTAATGCCAATCACTCGTTAAGCGAAACAAATTTTCTCATAGAAATGAATGTAAAATATGATAATGCGTTCCATGCTTAAAGAACTAACTTGAAATGCGAATGAGATTTGCAGAAAACAAACAAAAAAAAAACGAAACAATTAGTTTTTTTTATGATACGTATTTAATTATTCACACATAATATGTCTGAACACAAGTTTGGAAATTGATATACCAAGCGCACAATCCGGAATCGTTATGCGACTCGTTATTTTACAATTTGTTTTGCTCGTTATGCAATTATGTTATGAAAGGTGCTAGTTAAGCGAGTTTCCTCTGTATCTAATTAGTATTGAACATTCAATGTTGGTTCATTTAAAAAAAATATGATTTTGCATTATTGTGGAAGATTAATTTTGAAAGTAATATGTAATATAAATAAGTAATTTCAATATAAATTATTAAATCTTGTTGATGTCAAAGTTCTGCCCTGATTTATAATGCAAACATTAATAACCCTTATACAAATGGTTGGAAGAAAAGTAGAACTTTTGCTTTTATTCCATTTCTTCTTATTTTTTTTCTTTGATATTCTTTTGTTTCATGGACGTTCCTTATAGTTTTAATACAACAGACTTAGAGAGTTTCGCTAATTTAATTCAGCAGTTTCCCTCACGAATAATAATTTTCCTCCAAACAATCCGAAAAACTTTTAAAGTTATTCATATAGATCCAAGAATTCATTACGAAGTGAAACTGGCAAAAATACTACAGAAATTGAGAAATATTATTTAATTTCTACTTTAAAAGTCGTTTTATGTTCAAACTGCATCGAATTCATGGAATTGCAATTGAGTAAAAAGTAAATAAATATTATTTAATAATATTTTATTTACTTTATACTTTTCAGCTATATGTGCAGTCATGGTTTTCACATTACATTATGAATATATAAATAGTATAAACGCACTCTCTCAAAAGCAATCAATAATAAAAAAGAATGTAAAATAATTATCGACCTCTGTATTACAAAAGATGTTTTAGTAATAGTGGAAACTGGGGGTTTGACGAATATGTTTACGTATTTTTTTTAAATTAAATTCATTTTTTGGTTTAAAATTTTAAAGTAAAAATAGACTGAAAACAAGATCCGAAATCTTCCTACATACAATTTAAAACGATGCATTTTAATCAAAGCTGTCATAAAAAGTTTCATAATGAAGCTAGAGATGCTTATAATCGAAGTATATATGTAAAATCGAGAATAAACGAAATAAGTCTCATTAATAAGCAAGTTTTTGACTTTCAAAATATTTTCCATGCTTAATCGTCGTCTTAATAATTGCGTGGGTTACAATTTTTAAAACTATCCAATATTTTTACGAAATAAAAAAATATTTGCAATTTCTGTAAGCAACGCAATTGCGTTTTCTATTATGGAATTTATTTGGCTAAGTGACAAAAACAGAATGAAGTATAATGTTGTGAATGCAGAAATTCCAACGAGGATTAATTTTGACATTTTAATACATAAAAGCTACAGAACAAAAATCAAATCATTTTAATATATCAATACCAGTTTTAGAAAATTTAACCGTTTGTTTTGCATTGCATAGTTTTTTTGAAATAACAAATCCGGAAATATTTAACAAATCGCTTTTATATATTTATTAAATAAAAACTATTCCATAGCCTAGGCGAACAAACTTATTCCAACAAAACTTTTCAGTTTGTTCATATCAAAAACACAATAATTACCGAATTAATTGCACGTAAGGCGCTTAAAGTAGTAATGGTGGGAGATCGTCAGAAGTTTGTAATTCTCCGTTTGGGTGTGGGCATTTACGATATAGGGGTTCGCTTGGCAGCTTTAAAATTCATTCCATTTCGGTCGTTTCCCTCTGACTGCATATCCTTATCCCGGAAATATCATTGCACCCGGTGCAAATTCGTTTGTACGAAATCCAGGGCGCGTGAAAAGTCCAAATAAATTCAGCAAAAAAAAAGAGTAAATACATAAATAAAACAAGGATGTATGTGAGCGTATATGCGGACAGACAATACACATATAAAGCTTTTGGCTGGGCTTTATCCGAATTGCACTATTTGAAATTCAAATTCAGGTACTCGGATATTATTTTCGTTTTCTGTAGTTCTTTCGCCGTTTGATCCAACATTACTCTGTAATTTACACCATTGGCTCTCGTATTAGGCCAAACGTTTGTATTTATTCTGGTGGAATGATATTGTAGTCGATAATTCAATCGCATTCATTAGTTCGCTCAGTGGAGGATTCACGTTAGCAATCAATCCATTCGATTGTGAAATTAGACCAACTTCATAGTATACATTATGTAAATAATTATAATAATGCTATTTAAGATGTACTATTGTAACATTATTGTTACCAATAATAACCGGTTCTGGTTGTATTTGCTATATTGATTAATGGTCACTTCAATCAATTTTACTTCACATTGGCAAATGGTAACTATTACTCATCTAAATAGAGTAAGTCCTCGACTTACGCGATTCTTCTTTAGTCTAAATTTTTTTTCTTGGTATGTCCATTAAATAATATTTTCTTGAATGTATAGATATTGATCTATTTTACTTTCACTTATCCTTTAAAACTAAAACATATTTTTTGCCAAAAATGCTAAATTTTCTGCTTTCCTCGACGCGAAAACCTTCGGAACCAATTAATCGCGGACTATAATGTACTTTACTACCATCATAAGTTCACTCGTTGACGAATTACGTTGAATATATCTAATTTATACGAACAATATTTTTCGTGTAGTAAATCGAGCATTCTATGTATAATATTAGACAATTCTAAGAACAATATAAAAAAAGAATATTTGCTTGAATTCTAGTTTCAATTTATATAAAAATATTTTATAGACTTTAACAATATAATAATGAACAAAAAATATATTATATACAGATTACAAATGCTAAATACTTTAAAGTTAATTCTGTCAAATTTGTAGCTATAATAATTTGACCAAGTTAATATACAAGTTTTGTACAGATTTTTTTTATGAACATTTCTCCGTTTAAAAAGCGTACTCCTTTTCATGATATTATACTTTACTATTACTTTAATATTAAAATAAAACTAACTAATGTTTGTAGAAACATCATTTCTTAATTAATCTTCGGGAATTATGTTATATTTTAACCACTGTTAGGCATCTTTGTTTCCCATAAAACTACACAAATTTAATTTGATAATATTTTATCAAGATAAGTTTAAAGAGATTATTAATCCGAATTTTGGTATTAATGATATATATCTAAAAGAAGTTAGACGTTTTAATACAATTTAATATATTCAGGAATAAGCAGACAACTTTACTGAATTGGTGCTTTTAAAGTGCAAAATAGAGTGGAAGGATGTTTTTTTACAGTTGCATTTGTAATTAAACAATTCATAGATGTTGTTATTTGTTTGAAAAACTACTAAGAGGAATTTTATACGCCTTTTGCACATTTCGCACTTCTTTTGCATTTACTTCGAAAAATTTATTTTATTGTATATACATTTCTAATTGAAAATTATTGATATTTCTATCTATTTCAAGCCAATACTAATTACTACTGGGATTCTTAAATTGAATTTACATGAATATTGTGTTTTTGTGTGCTACAGCAATATGTATTTGTTCTTTGCAGGATCGATTCAAATTCACGATCTTGAATGCTGTATTAGTGGCGAAGAACGGGGATTTGGCGGCTCTTGTGGATTCGGAGGCAAGAGTCATGCTTTTATATTGCACAGGAGAGGAGGCTATCGGGATACTATCGGCCGCCAGAGACTTGAAACTTACTGGAGAAAACTACGTCTGGGTTGTCACCCAAAGTGTTATAGAGAACCCGATGCAAGCCCCACACCAATTTCCAGTCGGAATGTTGGGTAAGTTATATATCACACATTATACATATATTTATTGATACACGTGTATAGATTATTACACTGTAGATATTTGAACGGTTATCCAAAATAGCTTTGCGTGAACTAACATTTGCGTTTATACACTACACTGGCATATGCATATACGTGTTGACAGATAAACATTCGTGTCAAATGTTACTCATAGTGTGTATACAGCATAAAAGTCAAAGTTTCTAAGACTTGAATCCAGACTACACGTGACATGTGACGTAAATCTACACCAGACAGACCAACTACTATGTAGTGCATTAGAAATGCAGTATCTAATCAATAATGTTAGTTCAGACTGTATGAAAATCAATAGCAGTTGGCACTCCTGATTATCAATTATATTGACAATGGATCACTTTATGATATATTATAAAAAAAATGCGAATTATTTCTACTTATATACCACATTGCCGGTGCCCGCGGGTACCAATGTTCAGTTTTAAAGTGCTCGCGGGTACCAATTTATAGGTTTAAAGTGCCCATTGGTCAAATATTCAATTATCTATTACTGCATACATAAAATATTGCAAGGTGCCCGCAGAACTCCTGTTCCATAAATTTGTCCTCCTAGTCGAAAAGGTAACCGAGCCCTGCCATGTTTTATATACGTAAATTTTAATCCTTCGTTCCAAGATAAGTACCCAATTTAATAAAATGGAAAATATTTGGAAATTAACACTTATGAGTAACATTTAACAAATTAGTAACTATAAACATTGTCTACTTTTTCTGCGGTTATTTCGTCCCATGCTTTATATACTGCCGCAATTAATTCATAAATACTGGATGAGAACTATTTGTGTTGTAATGATTGAATGGTGTTAAAGAAATGTCCAAATCGAGGACATTGAAATCGGGGTTGTTTGATGGTTGACAAACCATTCTTATATTCCACCCATTTTCATTACCAGCGCGAACAACTTCCTCATCATCAAAACTGCAATGTGGTTTAGCATGATTTTGATTGGCATTATTTTATTATCCATTAAATGAACTATAATCGGGCACTTATTTTGGAACCGAGGGAGTATTTTTTTTTAAATCAATAAAATACGTAATTGAACTTTTATATCTCTTACATGTAATATTTTATTTATAATATTTTAAAAAATCCATATCTAATTTGATAAGTTCGGTGGGCACTATGAGATAAAGTTATTACTTAAACATTTAATACATAAATTCAAATTTTAATTAAAAAAATGATTTTTTTAATACAACTGCGAGTGTTTGATGTTCAAATGTCTAAAATATAAAATTGCTTGGTGGGCACTCTGGGGACCCTGTCAGGGGTCGGCAACTTTTGAGACGAAACAACCTGCAAACAATATGTTGTCTTTCAAAATGTGAAACTATGACAGTTTTTATTTTATTTTGAAATTTATCTAAGATCTACTTGCAAGTATATAAATAGCGGCAGTGTGCCGACGCCTGGTTTAGATTATAGTTGCCAGTGTAAAGCAGATTTTTTTTAATAAAAAAAATGTGAAAGCATGTACATCTTCGTAAAAGCATGGAACGCTGTACCTCATTTCCCCTTTGTATATTTGCATTTCATAGGACCAGATAAATAAATAGAAAGTACTTTGCAAAGAAAGCGAACGGGATTAGTCGGCCCGTAATGCCATCTAGTTCTACACATTTCTTTAAGATTAAAGTATTATTTGCATTTAAAATCGAATGGGCTCAAAGAAAATGAGTTCAAACGGCAAACGACATAAAGAATGGCTAAAGTATATTCAATTATACGAAACCTTTTTATAAATTAAATTAATCCAAATTTACAAATCCAGTTTCTTTAGGTTTCCACTGAATATACTACAAATGCGAAATATTCATTATATAATTATTTTGATACTAAATTTATATTTTGATATATTACATTTATTTCATACATTATGATAAAGTAACTTATTAAATATTTGCATTAAAACTTATTACTATGCTGTGTAATGGATTTATATTATTATGGCATTATTGAAAATATTTATGAATAAATATCCAAATTAAATGGTAAAATTTACTATAATAACTGCATGCAATATTTATGTTTTCATATGCAGATGTGATCCGTATATTATATAAAAATTGTATTCAATACAACTATATGAAGAATAAGCCATTTTATTAAATTTGAAATTGTAGCAAATTATATACAGTGGAACCTCACTTAAAAAGCACATATTATGTGTATGTTTGAATATGTTTCATAGTAATATCGTATAGTGAACGAGTAAAAATCCGGAAATTTTGGAAGGGATTAAACGAGGTTCGACTGCACCTCTTAATTAATATAATCAAGCATTACTACATGTTTATCATAAAATTTAAACAAGAATATTATATTTATCTACTTAATAAAAGTGTTTCATAAATCTTTTGTAGTTAATTATAAAGAGATAATGCTACGTCCACACTACTACGTCCAAATAATAATCTCAATAAGTCCTTAAACACGAAGATTAATCAATTAATTCTGGGCAATGAGTATTTTATAAATAATACTGAGGATTTTTCTAACAATAAAAAATTATACTTTTACCAAAGCAAATTACAATAATACCTCGCACAGTGCGGCTTCGATCAGTCTGGATTTATAATAGTACGGTTTAGAAATTTCAAAACAAACTAAATTTTATTTCAGCAAACATGAATTCTAAATAAATAATACACCACATTATTACGGTTTCAAATAGTGCTGGATAATCACGGATTCCATAGAGCATGCGAGGTAGTTCTGTACAAAATAATTAATAGAGAATAATATATATAAGATTGAAGCATGTTTAATTTTAATGTTATAACTTTGCTTTCATATTTTTATAAAAACTTCAATATAGTTGATACTGAGGTATATTTTTGTCTAGAAATATTTATTTTTAATTAAACCTTGTGGTACTATAAATATAAATAATATGTACAGCATTATTAATAATACTTATTACCAGTTTTTTTTTAATTATGAAGAATAGTATTGGAGCGAATCTCCAGTGAGTCATTTTAATGTGATGAAGGTACAGAGGACCTTAGGTTGTTGACCTCTCGAGCAAATGGCTTTATTCGCAAACGCACAGTTTTTTTAAAAATGCTTGAAATGTTACTAGTCATTTCCATGAAAATGTTTCAGTGTGGATTGCATTACTAAATTATAAACCAAATATCTGCTTAGTTCCAATAATTTAGTTCTCCAATAACAATTTAGTATTTAATGGAGTGATTTACTATCACCTATAGTGCACGTCCGTCGGAATAAGGTAGGATCAACATCGTAATGCCAGAGCTTAGTAAGACTATTACAGACAGTTTTATTGCAACCAGTGTAAATAAAATAATCCTCTTCAGGATAATTCCAGTATACTTGATATACTGGCGAATTGTATTATTTATTATAATTTATAGTTACGTTCTCAAGTTCATTTATTTAAACAAAAAATACGAATTATTTTTTACTGCTTTCCTTGAATGTGCTGTAATTGAAATAGAAAATGTATACATCGACGTTTTCATGTTTACTAAAAGCTATAATACATGTATTTTTCTATCCTTGAGCAAAAAGCAATTTTGCGTGCCGAGCAAAAAGAAATAGGAAATGGATTTGCCCTCGATATATTATCCTCTGATGTTCGTTAAACTGATACGAGAAAGATCACTAGAAGATTGCTTTTGAATCCTTTAAGATGCGTCTCGCAATTTAATTTCTATTACTAATCCTGAGTATTCAATGCTAACCTACTTTATAGTACAGATGGATTTACTCGACATATAGTTACTATTAAAAGGAAATTAATTAAATTGTAAATAATAATAATTAATGAGCCAACTGCGTCGTCTTTATAATTTACATTATACATCACTATAAAAATTTATTGTAGATTCAGATATATTATTAAAATTAAAAGTTATAAATGATATTTTACAATTTAAATTTATGAGCCTCACACTTAATGATATATAATAATTCATAATCAAAATAAATGCAGTAGAAATAGAATATGTGTTGAATCTAGAACTGAGTCTCGACATTTTTTTGATTCATAGGACTCAAGACAATTGTTCAAGGTATTCCAGAAAATTCTCGGAACTTAAGAAATTAAAAAAAATGTAAAATATGAATATATTCTTAACAAATATAAAAATAATTATAAGAAATGGTAATAGAAGATAAAGTAAACTAAATATTTATTAAATAGACGCTGTAAAAATACGTGAGTGCATTTAAGGACTCCTCTGAAAGCAAAATTTCCTACTAAGGAAAATGTCATCTCACATTTACTATTTGTTGGTTTTATGCAGAGGAGTCAAAAATATTAAATTATTTTTTAGTACTTTTTATTGAACCCGTTTTGTAAGAGATTGAATATTTTGTATTTCTATTAAAGCTGTATTAAGTTAAATTGCCTTAAATATGATAAATCCAGTTCTCGAGTTTTTGTCACATAAAACTTTACCGCAACTTGCAACACTTTCAAAATTGATAAAGTATATATTTTAGATAATTTTTAGTGCCATTTCCAATTTTGAAATTTCTCGAGTCTCGAACGAAAATTCCCGGGTATCGAGACCAAACTTTCCCGGAATTTTTTTCCGGTTCAGCAATCCTAGTTGAAACGGATTATAAGACGCTCTTCAAATTTATGAAATAATTATTAGAATATAAATATATTATTTGGACAAAATGACATTTATTATTGTTTTTTATAATGTTTCTTTTATCATGATGGGCACCACAATTCCAAGTTAAGAAATAAAAAGGTATATTTGAATCCGTTTAAGCTTATTGTTTAGATTAACCTAAACACCTACTTTAGAATCACCGATGAGGGAACTTTACCGTATTATACTAATACAATTTACAGGAAAATAGCATGTGATCATTTGCATCCACAAATTGATTAAACAATTCCGGACACTCGCTGCTGGCTACGCAATCAATGCATATTCATGTTAGATCGATGTAATCCTGCAGCTAA